CGACGATGCTGATGGTGGTCGCGATGGTGATGATGGTGGTGGCGACGATGGTGATGGTGGCGACGATGATGGCGATGGTGATGGTGGCAAGGATGGTGATAATGGTGAAGATGATGATGGTGGTGATGGTGGCAAGGATGATGATGGCGACGATGGTGATGGTGGCGACGATGGTGATGGTGATGATGGTGAGGATGGTGGTGATGGTGGCGACGATGATGACGATGGTGATGGTGGAAAGGATGATGATGATGGTGGTGGCGATGGTAGTGATGATGATGGTGGTGGCGGTAGTGATGATGGTGGTGATGGTGGCAAGGATGCACCGTGGGGATGATGGAGCAGCACGTGGAGTTGGAGGAGGTGGAGGAGGTCTCAATGGAGGAGGTCTCAGTGGAGGAGGTGGTGGAGGTCTCAGTGGAGGAGGTCTCAGTGGAGGAGGAGGTGGAGGAGGTCTCAGTGGAGGTGGTGGAGGAGGTCTCAGTGGAGGTGGAGGAGGTCTCAGTGGAGGAGTTGGAGTAGGTCTAAGTGGAGGTGGAGGAGGTCTCAGTGGAGGTGGAGGAGGTCTCAGTGGAGGAGGTCTCAGTGGAGGAGGTGGAGGAGGTCTAAGTGGAGGAGTTGGAGGAGGTCTCAGTGGAGGAGGTCTCAGTGGAGGTGGAGGAGGTCTCAGTGGAGGAGGTGGAGGAGGTCTCAGTGGAGGTGGAGGAGGTCTCAGTGGAGGAGGTGGAGGAGGTCTCAGTGGAGGTGGAGGAGGTGGTCTCAGTGGAGGAGTAGGTGGAGGAGGTCTCAGTGGAGGAGGAGGTGGAGGAGGTAGAGGTGGAGGTGTAGGAGGAGGTGTAAGAAGTGTAGGAGGAGGAGTAATAATAAGAGGAATAGGTGGAGTCTGTTGGGGACAGCCCCTGGTTGATGTTTCTCTCTCTGCTCCCTCAGTCTCACACCGCTCCCTCAGTCTCACACCGCTGGCGAGACCTCAGGCTCCGTGTGTGTGCAGCGCGTGCAAGGCCGCCGCTGCCGCAGCCACCACCGTCATGATGTTGATGTTATTGTTGATGTTATTGTAGGGGCATAGCACCGTGTTGATGTTGTTGTTGATGTTATTGTTGTTATTGTAGGGGCATAGCACTGTGTTGATGTTATTGTTGATGTTATTGTTGATATTATTGTTGTTGATGTTATTGTTGTTGATGTTATTGTAGGGGCACAGCGCCGCCTGCTGATGGAAGAGGGTAACTTCGGTGCATCACGTGGTGCACCACGTGAGACATCACGTGGTGCACCACGTGATGTCTGGAATCCTCCGTCGTGGCTGTTCAAGTTCGTCATCGTCGTCATTGTCATCGTCGTCATTATCATCGTCGTCATTGTCATCGTCGTCATCATCGTCGTCATTGTCATCATCGTCATCATTGTCATCATCGTCGTCATCGTCGTCATCATCGTCGTCGTCATCGTCGTCATCATCATCGTCGTCGTCATCGTCGTCATCATCATCGTCGTCATCATCATCATCATCATCGTCGTCGTCGTCGTCGTCGTCGTCGTCATCATCATCGTCGTCGTCTTCACCACCTAGTGAGACGGCGCTGGCGACTGCTCTTACTGAGCAACAGACGGTGCCACTACTTGTGGTGAGGGTCAAAGTGCGTCCGCCCACGTAGGGCGGCGGTGTTCACGTTGTTGTTGTTGTTGTTGCTCTCCGTCACTACAACTTGTTGTTGTTGCTCTACGTCACTACAACTTGTTGTTGCTCTACGTCACTACAACTTGTTGTTGTTGCTCTACGTCACTACAACTTGTTGTTGTTGTTGCTGAATAAAGAAGCCCCTACAAGTATTGCCGACTCCCCAACTGCGTCACTACAACTTGTTGTTGACTTAAAGCTTTCGCGAGTGCAGGAATTCATATTCTTTGGGGGACTTTCTATAAAGTCACGTGGGATATGTTCAGAAATAATCAAATAAACAAAGAAAACTACGACGTCTCGATCGCAACGCAGGCGACCGTCATCAGGAGGGGAAGAAGTGGGGCGATCGCTAAAGGCAAAGAAGAAGAAGCTGTTTTAAAGGATTAAAACGGGCGCAGCTCCAGCGTCGTGGATCACAAGCGGAGATGTTCACGTGAACTGGGAGAATCGACAGAAGGGTGAAGAAATTAACAACTTGCGGTGATGTTCACGTGAACTAGGAGAATCGAGAGAAGGGTGGACGCACGAGCCGTGGAGAAATTAACAACTTGCGGTGGGCCCAATGCACAGGGCGACACCGCGGGAACTGGAATTGATGGTCCCATCTTTAGTAAAATAAAACGAACATTGGGAGGTGACAGGATGGACACATCACAGCCAGTTACGACAAACTGGTCCATGACGTCCTTCCAATGATTGCTGAGTCTGTACCCATCCTCTCGGTTCAAATTGTGTCTGTGGATGGCCTCAATAACGAATCTTTGCTGATAGCCAGTGGGCTTACAAAGTAACTTCGTCTTAGAGAAATCTATTTCGCGTGAGCCAACCGCATTAAAACAATGATCAGCCACGGCCGAGGTGTTGATCCTTCCGTGTTTCAAATCCGCCTTCTGCTCACGAACACGGCCCGAGAAGTGTCGCTTAAATTTAGATTTAAAGCTTTCGTGACTGCAGTAATTCAATTCTTAGCTCTTTCGGTAAAGTCACGTCGAAGGGAAACAATAAAATAATAAAATATATATAAAACAATAAAAATTCTCACGACGTTTCGACCAGTTCACGTGGTCGTTTGTGTTATGGTCGAAACGTGAGAATTTTGATTGTTTTATATATTTTATTATTTTATTGTTTCCCTTCAACGTGACTTTAGCGAAAGAGCTAAGAATAAGTGTCGCTTAGTTTCCCCAATGTAACTGCTGCCGCAGACACAGTTTGTGTTTGTAGACGCCGGGGTATTGCACGTCAGGGATCAACATCCTTCGCAGATGGGATTAGCTCACGGATTTTACGCACTGTTAAATCGAGCCTGGATCTTGTGTGTTTGCTCAGGATTTTAGAAGTATTTTTGATGACCCCTGCTAATGTATGACAAGGTGATGGTTTTGATTGGGTCCTCAGATGGTTCTTTCCCAACGGTTGGGGTGATAGCTTTACGGATTGTGTGGTCCGAATATCCATTCGTCTTGAGAGCTTGGTGCAAGTGTTTCAGTTTTTCAGTTTCTTTATTTTGGTATAGCCCTGTGAGCCATTCGGCTCTTGAATCGGGTGCAACCACAACAAACAAAAAAAACTAAAATACGAACAAGAAAACATCTTAAAGTGATTCATCTTCTTTGGTTCTTTCGGTAAAGTCACGTAGAATGATAATAAAATAATAAATTGATAAAATAAAATAACACAATAATATTCTCAATAATAATATTCTCAATATTATTGTGTTATTTTATTTTATCAATTTATTATTTTATTCTCATTCTACGTGGTGACTTTACCGAAAGAACCAAAGAAGATGAATCCTTGCAGTCACAAAAGCTTTAAATCGAAATAAAATCTTAAAGTGACTATGTGTGACTGTGCAAACAGAAAATCCAGGAAAAAAACAGCAAAATATTCCTGAAAAAAGCACCGTGCACCAACGCTGTGTGCAAAAAATCCCAGTGGGATGCAAGTCAAACAACAACCACAAGAAAACTTAGATTAAGGCCATCAGTCTAACTCCGTACTACAACAAAACAAACATGTCCAAACCAAAAAACGTTTTCCAAATCACCAAAAAATAAAGCCATTATTGCAACGTAACAGTGATCACAGGGACTGTGACCGAATTTGTACAATAAACTACATAAATAACATGTAACACCAAATCCTAGAGCCATAGCTGGCTTCATGAGTTACTCCACAACAACAGAAGCATCGGTCGGAGTATCACATTTTTCAATGCACCTTTAAGATCAGCACGCTGGCTAGGTGATGATGGTTGGATGATACATCGAGCTCTATGGTGTAGAGACTCTTCCCCATCTTATCCCCCTCTCGTCCGTCTACGTGTGGAGGGAGTGGTGTTGGATGGAGGGGGGAGGGAGGGGAGGTGAACGCCTTGGCAAACCTTCACTGAGCGTCTCTTCTGGCTGGGTTCATCATTAATTGTGGTCCTTCGCTCTGGCTGGGTTCATCATTAATTGTGGTCCTTCTCTCTGGCTGGGTTCATCATTAATTGTGGTCCTTCTCTCTGGCTGGGTTCATCATTAATTGTGGTCCTTCTCTCTGGCTGGGTTCATCATTAATTGGGGTCCTTCTCTCTGGCTGGGTTCATCATTAATTGGGGTCCTTCGCTCTGACTGGGTTCATCACAGTGTCACTGTGTGTCACTGTGTGTCACACTGTGTCACACTGTGTCACAGTGTTACAGTGTTACACTGTGACACACTGTGTGTCACTGTGTAACACTTACACTGTAACACTGTAACACACAGTGTGACACTGTGTGACACACTGTCATACTGTGTCACTGTGTCACACTGTGTAACACTGTGTCACTGTAACACACTGTGTGACATACACACTGTGACACACACACTGTGTGTGTCACAGTGTGTATCTGGTGAGTCTATGGGTCTCTGTGTGCTGAGTCTGAGTCTCTGTGTGATGAGTCTATGTATCTCTGTGTGGTGAGTCTATGGGTCTCTGTGTGCTGAGTCTATGAGTCTCTGCGTGTGCTGTGAAGAAGGGCCTTTGTTCGAAACGTCGCCTATTATGTTTTTTTTAGGTCTCCAAGTTATTGACGAATGTGCCGCGTTTTATTGCTGTTTGTGCACCACTGCGAACGCGGAATCTCAAAAGTATTTGTTACGTTGGAGCTGGAGCACACTTTGATGAGGTCATCACGTTTGAGCTCGCGAGTGACTTCGACACGTGAATAATATTGCTTCGCGTGATGACGTCATCTTGCGATACACTAGCGGTCATGCTCGCGTGATGACGTCACGGGGCAGGAGCCCCTAGTCGCGCATGCGCAGTGAGGACTCCCTTCTTTCCGCCACAGCCGCCCGCCATGGTGGGTTTCTACGTCCGCGGCCATCCGAGGCTTCGCGATCCGCGTTCATCCTCGGCCATGGAGCTCTCCTCGCGGGAACTCGCGTGCTCAGAATGTCGCCGCCGCCTTGCTTCGTGACTGTGTGCAGCTATTTATTGTCGGAGTGTCCTGGTTTTAGCGACTTCGGTGTTGGCTTAGATTCGAGGGCGGCAGGCCCCCTGGCTTCGCGGCCATTGAACGTCAACTTGTTGAGGCTTCGCCTGTGGTCCAATGGACGCGTTGATAAATAGTTATACTCGTTATAGTTACACGCTGTTTAGTTACCGATTACGTTCCGCGCTGCGTTATTCATTGGTGCGAGTTTTATATGTGCGTTGTTTTTGCCGTGGTCTATCCACTGTTAGATGAAAGCAGTCCGCCTCTTTTTAACGACCTTGCGACTCGCCTGTTTGTGTTGCGCGGCGAAACGATTGATGGTGACAGACGCCTTCGCTGGGTTGCGAGTGTGGCTTAGACGGCCACGGTGTCGATCTATTTCATCGGTTGGACGAGCATGTATTCAACCCGCCACCGAGCTCGCGCAAGTAGCCGGTTTGGCTGCAGGTTGCACCGCAAGTGATGGCGTCTTAAGAAACCGCGTGTCCAGCAGCTGTGGACAGAAAACGCCATAAGCATCATATAGGCCGCGGGACTCGGTTGGGGATCAGTGCAGTAGTACTACCCTTGTACGGTGCTTGTGATGCCTCGACACCTTCCAACTTGGTGTGGGAGAGTAGCAGCAGCACGAGACGTGCGTGTTGGCGCGGTCATTCTCTCATCCAGCAGTGGATTGACCTGAGGACTGTTGGCGTCCCAAACCTGCTTGGAGAGTTGCCGCAGGTTTCCCTTCAAAAATATTCCTCCCTGGGTTCTTGATTGGTTTTATGTGCACATGGCTCAACACACGAGACCAGGCATCTGAATAATATATTTAACTTTCGATTTAAAGCTTTCGTGACTGCAATGATTCATCTTCTTTGGTTCTTTCGGTAAAGTCACGTATTCTACGTGACTTTACCGAAAGAACCAAAGAAGATGAATATATTTAACGTTTTTGTGTGGATTTAAATAATTTCCCGAGTGTTGACAATGTTTAATCTCCGTACAGGTCTTCTTGGATTAGATCGCGTAAATATGCAAATGTATCGTTAAACCTGCCACCGGCCGATTAGTAAGGTTTGCCACGTCAGAACATGCCAATTCGTTACTAGTACGGCACAAATCTGGCTGTCACCTGATGAAGCTAGGTGTAATTACTGGCGAAACGTCGTACTCAGATTGTAAATGTTGTGGCTTGGCTCTCCAACACTGATGTGCTGTACTAGTATACTACACAATACACTACACTATACAATACACTAGTGCTGTACTAGTAACGAATTGGCATGTTCAGTTTACGTGACAACCCTTACTAGTTGGCTGTGTCGGGTGGTGGCGGGTTTTATCGACACTTTTATATATTTACGCCATCTAACCCAAAACACTCTACTATGGATGATAGTGGTCGCGAAAGCCTACGTGTTAAACTGAATGTTTAATCTGCAATGCAGTAAATTTCCGATGTGTAGGGTATTCCACGCCACCAGACCTTAATGTTTACTGTTGTACGTAAACCGTTCTGGTGGTGTGGTTCGTTAAACTATCCTTTAGCCTTTGTCTACTGCGACCTATTCGATTTTGCCCAACCTCTTCGTGCTGAAAGCGTGCCATAGGTAATTGTAGACTTATGGGTGGCAATTGTTCTTATAAGGGCGAGTAAAATATAAACTTGAATATTGTTTTGTTTGGGAAGTCTGTCGTAATGTGACCTTGGTGCGAAGCATCTGAGCGGATATAAAACGCTGCGTGTCCAGGAAAATGACGTTTTGTGTGGTCTTTGCTTTCGGCTCTCTTTCTCCGTTAGGCAAAGCGCACGAAGAAGGTTGGCATTGTGGGCAAGTATGGCACGCGGTACGGCGCGTCCCTGCGTAAGATGGTGAAGAAAATCTAGATCAGCCAGCACGCCAAGTACACGTGCTCCTTCTGCGGCAAGGTGAGGGGCGCCAACCCACGTGGCAATAGGGGCACGTCTGGGCGTTATCCGGTGGCTCGCGCTGGTTGGGTCAAGTTGTGAGTGCCAGCCTGCAAAGGTCAAGATTGCAATTGGGTGGTGGTCGTCACCGGCAATGGTTGCCTCAATAGGTTTTTTTGCGAATAAAATTGGGCCTGGACTACTGTCCTTGGAGTTGCAGGGCAGAAAAAGCAGTCTCAGGTACGACTGCCTCGACCCTTAAACCGACTACAATAACAGGTCATCGGCTAATAAAGCAAGACTTTAAAGGACCGATAAAAAGTTAAACGTCGTTACCCCAAGGAGTGGCAGTGGCTGTTTCTGTCTGGGTAAATGGGATATGGCTTCTTTCAATTTTAATTTCAGACGTTACACGTGACTAACCCAGGGTTTTGTCGCCTGTGTACACCGATCACTGTTCATTAAACACTCTTCTAGACATTCTCATTTGCTAGACACAACTCCCATCGCTTCCTCTGCCCTACCAATTTGCCGTGGTTGCTCATGATAAATGCACTACCAGTGAAGATTTCCATCCACAATTCCCATAAATTGCCCTCGTGTTGTCCTTAACAAATTGGGGTCCTCGTGTTTTAGTACACGCACACGTGTTGTGCTCACGCTTGTTAACTGTGTGCCTTGACCGGTGATTTCCGCTCAGTGTACCTGTGGTGCTCGTGTTGTCCTTGTGAAAGCCAGACCAAGATGAAGAGGAGGGTGGTGGGCATCTGGCACTGCGGCTCGTGCACGAAGACCGTGGCAGGAGGTGCATGGACCTACAAGTACGTCTTGCACGCTATGTTGAGCCAAAGCCTAAGATGCTTTTACCGTTCCTTATCGTTTTCTGTAATATTTTCAAAGGTAATTATTTTGAAAATGACCAAGGTGTGTATTATTAGGATGAAGGTTTAGAAGTGTTTATTACGATGTCACCCAATGTGTGTAACCGCCCGTTCCTCCTTCAGCACGACCTCGGCTGTCACAGTGAGGTCTGCCATCCGCCGCCTGCGTGAGCTGAAGGACCAGCGAGGGACCCTTCCCACACTGCTCACACCACCGTCCTAGCACACCAGGGAGATCACAATAAAGTGTATATGAACCAGCATCAGTGCCTGTGCGTTTTTTGTTCTGTGCAGTGTGCTCTTCATTTCTGCATCATTGCTCGCGAATTGGGAAATGACAAAGCACCATTGCTGCCACCCCCCCCCCCTCACATCGCTAATGCCCACTTAGTGACCAGTGATGCTGCGTTCATTCACATGGTGCCACTTGGGTGAGCTGGTGCAAGGCATCTCAAGTTGTACTGCAGAGTTGTATTAAGTGTTGAGGACATTGGTAATGAACAAGTATTTGAAACATCACAAACCAACACGTTTAGATTTTGTAGTTTTGTTTAATAAAGTTAACGTGCAAAATCCACCAACCTCTCGGCAACCTTTGTGTATTTAAATGGTAAGCCACAAATTAGCACAATATGTATGTGTAGTGTTGTAAGGACGAGCAGACTTCTTTAGGAGGCACACTCTGTTTATTGTATTATTTCCTTATACAGCGCTTAACTCACACAGAGGGATATTCGGTCCCCTCACCCGATACCCTAGGGAGGTACAGCCTCCGGACCTGGCGGGACTCACACGTCTACCGCTAGCCTAGTCCTCCGGCTAGGACCTAGGGGAGGCTATCTGACCCACCGCTGGCCCGGTGGGTCCTGACCACTGGGTATGCCGAGGCTTAGCCCTTAGAAGGGCTGAAAGGCTGGTCCAGGGTCCTAGCTAGGCTTCAGCCCAGTCTTCTATCTTCGTGCAGGGAGAGAACTCCCCCAGGTCCGTTGGGTCACCCGTCTTATACCCCTTCGTGGCCAGGTAGAACCAATCATACATTCCCACGTGGAACCGTCTGATTGGTTCGCACCAAACCCTGGCCACGATCCGTTTCACCTCGACTAACCCCAACCGTTGTACCCAGGGGTAATGCTGCACTGCCCTGGTGGCAATGCAGGTTACGCAACAGCACGTAGTTAACACCTCTACATCACCCCCTCCTTCGGAAGCTCCAGCCGTCCCGGCTGCAACACACCGATGCGTGTACGACCGAGGGTCCTGCAGTCGCAAATTCGCCCGTTGGCAGGAAGCCGAATTTTCAATGGTGGCCTCCCGTGCCTCGGCCAACTTACGGAGGTTGAATCGCAAGTGGTCAACGAGCTTTGACTTTTGCGGTGGCTGTTCGATTTCCAGCCGAACGTCGGCGGGAAAGAAAGAAAGAACGGGGAAAATCCCGTCGCCGCGTGAGGTGCCATACGGTATGCGGTGAGGACCCCCGGAACCTGCAAGTCCCAATCGAGGTGGGATTCATCGACCTGATGGCATAACATAGCGGTGAGAGTTCTATGAAGGCGCTCCACCATGCCGTCGGTCTGGGGATGGTAGGGCGAAGTGCGCACTTTCTTAGTGCCCAACAGGCGGCACACATCATTCAGCAAGGCTCCCGAAAAATTTCTTCCCTGATTGGTCAGCAACCGTTCTGGTGCGCCCTTGTCCAGGACGTAGCCCTGAACAAAGGCGTCCACAACGGCCGCCGCCGACTGGTTGGGGAGGGCCCAGGCCATAGGCCACCGTGTAAATTACTCTACCCCAACCAGAAGGTACTTATTACCTCGTGGCGTAGTAGGAAAAGGGCCCAAAATATCGAGAGCCACCAACTCATTTATACGAGAGACCGAAATGGGTTGCAGGGGTGGACATGCCAGTTTAGCCAGCGGTTTACGTTGCGCACAATGGGTGCATCCCAGCAAAATGTCAGTGACGTCGCGCAGCATGCCCGGCCAGAAAAATTGCAACCGCAACAACCCAATGGTCTTATGAACACCCAGGTGCAATAAACGCTCATGCGCCGCCCATACGGCCTTGCATCGCAAGGCGGATGGCACGACGATTTGATGTTGACACGAGTCAGCATCCCAATGCATCAACAAGCCGTGCTTCATGACAAATGAATAAAATTTGCCCTGTCTTGGAACCGCATTATTCGCGTGGCGACGCAACCTCAATAACGACATGTCCTCGCTCTGGTGCCGACTCCATTCGGCCAAAGTTAGCCCCAGCAAATCGTCACTGGCCATTGGATCTGCATGATCCAACATCGGCGCTGAGGCGGTGAGAAGTGCGGCTGACACCGCTGTGAGAGGCGCGACCTGCACAGGCAGTGGCGGCTTACAACGGCCCGAGCCCAAAAAACACGCACATTTTTGAGCCGGCGGAAGGCGAGACAACGCATCGGCATTCGTGTGTTGTGCACCCCTACGGTAAGTGACATTGAAATCGTAGTCCTGAAGGACTTCGAGCCACCGAGAAAGCTGCCCGGACAGTTGGTCAACCCGCAGAGCGTACTGTAAAGCCGAATGATCAGATCGCACGGTAAAATGCTGACCATACAGGTATGGCCTGCATTGCTGAATAAAAAAAACAATTTCAATTTAAAAATTTCGTGACTGCAATGATTCATCTTCTTTGGTTCTTTTGGTAAAGTCACGTAGAATGAGAATAAAATAATAAATTGATAAAATAAAATAACACAATAATATATTCTCAAGACGTTTCGGCCACAACACAAGCGGCCTTCATCAGGTGAAGGGACGAGACTGTCTGGTAGGACAGCGCTGGAGTGAAAGAGCCACGTTCAGATCACGATCTTTAAGCTGTGTGAGAGGAAACAAAGCGCCTTGACAAAGGAATTAGCATATAATTTAGCGTTGAAATGGCTGAGTGATTAGCTTGTGACTGGTCACAGAAATAGCTATGTTAAAAGTTAAAGCATACATATCCGCAGAGGCACCCCTTGATAAAGGAATTAGCATAGAATTTAGCATTGAAATAGCTAAGTTAAAGCATACACATCCGCAGAGGCACCCATTGACAAAGGAATTCGCATAGAATTTAGCATTGAAATAGCTGAGTGATTTGCTTGTAACTGGTCACAGAAATAGCTACGTTAAAGTCAGAGCATACACATTCACCGAGGCACTTAGTACAAATCAAACAGGAGAATTTAGCATTGAAATAACTAGGCGAATTTAGCATTGAAATAACTGAGTGATTAGCTAGTGACTGGTCACAGAAATGACTATGTTGAAGTCAAGGCCTACACATCTGAGCTATTCACAGTACTATATAGTGAACCAATAAAAAACTAAAATATAAATTACCTTAATGTTATCAATAAACTCTATATTCTCCAATCAGCTAAGCTACCAACAATAAGTCGTTATATATCACAATGCTATATGGCGAAAAAAAATGGGTGGATTCTTACCCTCAACTTTAGCACCACGGATAGCTACGGGCCCCGTTCAGATGGACGAGCTCATCCATGGTCGGAACAGAGGGGGAGAGAGACAGCTGCGAGGCGCTATTATACTCCATGTTGTAAACCATACCATTAACCGTGGTGTGAGAGGTATTAAGAGTCAATGCTGGCGAAAGAGCTGCGGTCTGAAGGTCATCGTAAAATACAATTAATTAAGAACAGAAATGGTTTAAAACATCTTTCCAATGGTCACTAAGCCAGAATCCATCTTCTCGGTTGATATTGTCTCTGTGCTTGTATATGTGAATGGCCTCATGAACGAATCTCTCATGGTAGCCGGTTGGTTTGCAAAGAACCTCCGTCTTGGAGAAGTCAATGTCATGTGAGCCCACTGAATTATAACAGTGATCTGCCACGGCAGAGGAGTTCGTCCTACCGTGTTTCAAGTCTGCTTTATGTTCGCGGATGCGGTCCGAGATATGTCGTTTGGGTTCTCCAATGTAGCTACTACCACAGAGGCACTTTAGTTTGTAAACGCCTGGGTACTGTATGTCTGGAACAGCATCTTTAACAGATGGAACTAAATCACGGATTTTATGTACTGTGTTGAATCGGACCTGGATCTTGTGTTTATTCAGGATTTTGGAGATCTTTTTAGTGACCCCTGCAATGTAGGGTAAGGTGATGGTTTTGAGTGGCTCCACAAGAGGATCCTTCTTCATGACTGGAGTGATGGCTTTGCGGATTGTGTAGTCGGAGTAACCATTAGCCCTGAGAGCCTGGTGTACGTGCTTGAGTTCACTGGTAATGTGTTCCTGGTCGAAAATGCATTGGGCTATATGGTATAGAGTCTTGATGAGGGAGTTCTTCTGGGATGGATGGTGGTGGGAATCCGGTTTCAAGTAAGCATCTGTATGGGTAACTTTCCTGTAGACAGAGTGGCTCATTGAACCATCATGTCTCCTTTTAATTAAGACATCCAAAAAGGGTAGTTTGCCATCTTTTTCGACCTCCATGGTCAATCTGATGGCTGGGTGTATGGAATTGATGTGGTCGCGGAATTGGTCTAGAGCAGGCTGGCCATGTGGCCAGATGACAAAGGTGTCATCAACGTACCTCTTCCATAAGGTCGGGCGTAGAGTGGCAGTCTGGATGGCGTCAGTTTCAAATTTTTCCATGAATACGTTGGCTACAACCGGAGATAGAGGGGGAGCCCATTGTGGTGCCCTCAGTTTGTTTGTAGAAAGTTCCATTCCAGGTGAAGTATGTGTTGGTTAAGCAATGTCTCACCAGGGGGGGTACATCAGTATGCAGTCCTTGATGAACCAGGTCTTCAATGATAGCGATGGTGTCAGGTACCGGGACTTTGGTGAACAAGGACACCACATCAAAACTGACAAGCAGGTCGTCTGGGGACAGGGAAATGCCTTTGATTGTCGATACCAGGTGAGTAGAATTTAGTACCGCAGAGGTGGTTTTTCCAGTGAAAGGTCGCAGTATATCAGCTAAATTCTATGCTAATTCCTTTATCAAGGGGTGCCTCTGCGGATGTGTATGCTTTAACTTTTAACATAGCTATTTCTGTGACCAGTCACAAGCTAATCACTCAGCCATTTCAATGCTAAATTATATGCTAATTCCTTTGTCAAGGCGCTTTGTTTCCTCTCACACAGCTTAAAGGTCATGATCTGAACGTGGCTCTTTCACTCCAGCGCTGTCCTATCAGACAGTCTCGTCCCTTCACCTGATGAAGGCCGCTTGTGTTGTGGCCGAAACGTCGTGAGAATATTATTGTGTTATTTTATTTTATCAATTTATTATTTTATTCTCATTCTACGTGACTTTACCGAAAGAACCAAAGAAGAAGAAAAAAAACAATGGCCAGCAGCTCACGTCTGGTTACACAGTATCTTTGTTCAGCAAGAGACAAGACTCTGCTACCATAGGCAACAACCCTTTCAATGCCATCAACTTTTTGGGACAGAACACCCCCAACCCCCGTATTGCTAGCGTCGGTGTCCAACACGAATGGCACGGAAAAATCGGGGTACGCAAGGGATGGTGCCGTCACGAGCGCATTCCGCAAGGAGTCGAACTCAGCCTGTTCTGCGTC